GCAGGATTTGGGTTGGGGTGGAAGCAGGGTTTGGTCTTAGGTATTGACTCTATCGTAGGCCACTTCTCGAGATTGCAGCTTGTCTTTACTTTTTGAGCTGGGCAGAGTTGGCATCAGATTCTGAGAGCTGACTGTCTATTACCCTGTGTGTGAGCACAGCCCCATCTGACATTGACCCAGCAGCCTAGTTGGCAGGGTTGCAGTGGTATACTGCCATACTGTGTGTGCTCAGGTACCTTGCAGGGAGAGCCGCCTCCTTATTTGAGGATTAAGAACTCACTATGCTCTTCACTCAGTGTCTTCATTTCTTAAAATACATGGAATTAGAAAGCTGTTCTGCACCAGAGCCGTGGAGTAATACTACGTGGCATTTATACAATAGAAGGCTGGGGCAGAGGGGAAAGCAAGTTTGGTTTAGAAAATGATGCCAGGTTGCTGGCGTGGGCTAGATAGCTTTCCTCTCCCCTGGGCCTTGGAGAGTGAGTTTGTGAGGTTTAGTGCAGCAGATTATACCAAGTGGGTCAGGAGATACACAAAAGGATGGCTCCCTCTTAGTCATTCCAGTTACCCTTCCTTTAACTTTAGATCCAAGGAGGACTGCATCTGAAAATCATTGCTAGTAACAGGATATCAGACCCTGCCAGGTACTAGCCCTTTCCTTTCACACCAAACCACGTGGTAGGCATCTGTCTGTGCTCCTTGAAGGCACTGAATTATTCCTGTCATTTTTTCCCTTCTGGTATTTTCCCCCCAGCTGCCAGAGCTGGGGTGAGTGAGTCCTACTCTATTGCGCGCACACACACACACACACACACACACAAATGGTTTTCTGAAAATTTTTAGTTATTTAGTGTGGTTCCTTTATTTAAAATGCCTACCTGTTGTTGCCCTAGCCTTGATTAACCTGGCTGTGGTTCAGTTGTCCTCAAAGGATTTTTTTTTTCATGCACACAGCCAGTTATATTAAATAGATCCTTGAGCATTCACTGTATTGTCACCCCAGCTTGTACACTCTGAATGTTTGTCCTTAGGCAATTACCAAATTATATATAGATTCTCCCCAGGATTCTCCAGTATCCTCTGTATACATTCTCTCCATATCCTCCACTAATCTGGTTTTGTCGTATTGCAAAGTGATGGGAGAGTGACAACCAGAATTGACAAGACAGAGATTGAGAGAATGCTGTCCCCAAATTCCTGGGGTGGGGGGGTTGTCTGAAGCTTTGATCCATGTGTTGGAGCTGTTGTGCAAGTGACAGTGCTGTCTGCTTGGAGACGATGGTGACAACTGAGCTTTTACCTTCCAGTTTGCAGAGGCTTGAATAGGACATATAGATAATTAACACTCCACACTGGTTCCCTGGATCAAATTGTCCTTTTGCTTTAGAAGGATAAGCCTTTTCTTTACTTCACTTATAAAAGAAGGTGACATTACTCAGAAGCAGCTCCTGATTTTGGACCAGATTCAAAGCCCATTGCATATGGGGGAAGATAGTGTCATTTACTTTCCAGTGATGTGTGTTGCCATGCTCTCCTCTGCCTCTGGAATCACATGTAGAGACGTGACAGCAGAGCAGCCTTCTGTTAGGTGGCCATTGGTGGCCTGAGGGACATCTGTTGAGGATAGGAAAAATCTTTCCAATGTGATACTTTCGAGACACTTTCTGGAAGGACCGTGTAATCTTGTTTTTCAGACTAGTTTACCCTGGTGGCACACATAACCTTTGTGCCACCTGGCAAGTCCAGGGGTTCAGAGCAGGGGCTGCTTTAGAATGTCGCCCAGCACACTTTGGAGTTTTTCTGCAGCTTGGATACAGCATGGGAATTTGCCACTGATTTGAGCTCAGTTCCAGAAGGTCAGGGCCCCAAGAGAGAATTGCTGCATAGGATGTTGTGGTCTCTTAGGTGTCTTCCCTTTGAAGTTGGGGACAAGGAGTAGAGCTTGAGTTAGATGATCACAGAAGGCATTCTGCAAGTGGGACCTGAAAATTCATCCAGGTTTCCAAGGATGTGAGGGTTGAGGAGAGTAACCCTAGTAGCATCTTAGGTCCCAAAGGTTCCTGGCAGGCACTGAGGAACCTAACTGAGCCGTTGGTCCTTCTAAGAGCCCCTCCCCACAGTCCAGAGTAGAATGAATCAGGGTTAAGAGCAGAGGATCCTGACAGTCCAAGCTAGTGAGGTGTAGCAAGTGAGCAAACCTGCCTGCCCTCTGAGATCTGCTGGGTGGTAGGTACTCCAGCTTGCCCAGCCACATGACCAGGCCTTCTACTTGTGGCTAGCCACAGGTAAATTGAACACCATTTATATTCTTTTGCTTGGGGGAGGAGGTGGGAGAGATCAGGGAACCTACAACACAGCTGCCTAAGCAGCATAGGTAAGGCAAGACTCCCTTTGACTTTGTGTCTTTTTTCTTTTCTCCGTAACTTACCTTGCCCCAGATAATAGCATGGGTTCTGAGATTTCAATTTGGCTGTGTTGGTCAATAGCCATCTTTTATTTACCCTTTAATAGTTAGGAATACTAGAACTAGAGGAGGCTCAGGCTCATCTGGTACAACTTCCTGCCTTCAGTGGGTGAATAGAGAGACAACTAGGATATGTAATTGTCTCTTCTGGTGCTGTTCAGGGGCAGATTCTGCAATCTCCCTCAGTCAGTTCTGATGAACAAGTTCTTCCTTTTGTCTACCTAGACTCTCCTATTCTAGCTGTTTTCGTTTTTGTACCCACCCAGAATACTCTTCTGATAATTGTAATGAATTTTACTTTCCTCCTGGCGATCTAGCCACTGTCCTTCTAAGCCATTTTTACCCACCTCCTTGGGATCTCACACAATCACTGGTTTCCTTTTGAAGAGCAACAAGGATGGATGCTCAGGGGTCACTTGACTAGGTGTATCTGAAGTTATATCTAACTTGATCCATATTTCTGAACCCATAGCAACTCCTGATTCTGCACATAGTCTTGGTCTTGTTCCTGGGCATGACACAACACTCCTTAATTTAGTTTAACATCTTTCTTCACTTAGGACCTCTTCTACCTTGCTTTGACTTACTTACCATCTTGGGAGTTCTCATTCTTTGCTTCAGATTAAGTCTCACTCATGGTTTTATTTCTTCTTTCCTTTAATTAGAAGTCCAGAGCAGTAACTCAATTGAAGTTGGCTGCAACCTGCTAAGGTTGAAATGCTAATGGGTTCAGAGCTTGCTGCAGAGTGATTTGAATTTCTGCCTTCTCAAATTAATCAGGTGTTTTTTCTTTTCCTCACAACTTTATTTTGGAAAAAATTTCAAGCCTACTCAAAAGTTGTGAGCACTATGCACACCCATTTATCCTTCATCTAGACTCACTGGTAACTTTTTGCTGCAATTGTCTGTCTTCTGTCCTGTGCTTGTATGTGAGTGTCTAGACATACCCACATATGTGCATCCACCACTCTTGGGTGAACTATTTGAAAGTAAGTTGCAAATACCATGACATTTCACCTATAACTTTAATGGCATCTCCTGAGAATAAGGATAATCTTCTACATAATCATAATATTATCATGCCTAAGGAAATTAACTTTGACTGCATATATCATCAAATACCCAGTGTCCTCATGTTTTCCTTTTGGTGGCTTGCTTTGAGATCCAGGACCTAGTCAAGAATCTGATTTGGCGGGAGGAGTGGGGAAGTGGTTCAAACAATGTATACATATGTAAGTAAATGTAAAACAATAAAATAAAAGGAGAAAAAAAATCTGACTTGGGTCAGTCATATGGCTCATGTCTGTAATCCTAGCTATTTGGGAGGCTCAGGTTAGGAGGATCGCAATTTGAGGCCCAACCCAGGCAAGTAGTTCTAAAGATTCCATCTCCAAAATAACCAAGCAAAATGGGCTGGAGGTGTGGCTCAAGTGGTAGAACGCCTGCTTTCCAGGTGTGAAGCCCTGAATTCAAACCCCCAGTCCCACAGGGGGGAAAAAAAACTGATTAGGTTATGTCTAAGTCTCTCAATCTAAAACTATTCCCTATCCCCACCCCATTTCTTCTTTTTTCTTTTTTTTTGGTCAGTAGTGGGGTTTGAACTTAGGGCCTCACACTGCTAGGCAGGTGCTCTACCACTTAAGCATACCACCAGCCCTGGCTGGTTTTGTTCTGTGTTATGACATTTTGAGAAGTAATCCTCTAACTCTTCCCTACTCTGGATTTTTTTTTTTTTTTTTTTGCCTGTTTCCTCATGGTGGTATTTAACTTATTCCTCTATCCTGTTTCCTCTGGGACCTGATTGGATTCAGGTTAAACATTCCTGACAACATTTCGTGGGTAAACTTGCATGCTTCATAATAAATACTTTAGAAGAGACATAGTGCCAGAATGTCTATAATTAATCACGCTAAGCGTTCTTTTTTGAGGGCTGCCAGGAATTGAACCCCAAGCCTCACATAGAGCTTGCGTTCTGCCATCAAGCTACACCCCAGCCTCGTCATGCTAAGTTTGATCACATGAAGTGGTGACCACCACCATATTTTCCACTGTTAAAGTACATTTTCTCCTAATAAGTAACTTATGCGGAGGGGATACTTTTCTGTTCCCTATAGCCTTCAGTCCAGTGGTTTTGCATTTATTGATTCTTTATGTTTTGTTTTGTTTTGTTTTAGGCAGGGTCTTGCTAAATAGCCCAGACTGGCCTTGAACTTTTGATCCTTCTGCCTCAGTCTCCTGAGTGCTGGGATAACAGGCATTTGCCACCAAGCCAGTTGGCATTTGTTGACTCTTCCTGATTCAGATATTACTTTGGGAGTTGCATAAAGACAGTTCTGAATTAACACTAATGGACATGAATGTTGACAGACCAATTCAACTGAGGAATAACAAAAAATTTTCTTCTGACTTTTGAAATCATTGAGGGGAAGGAAACAAAATGAGGCCACCAAATTCTGTCAATATTTATAGGTATTTTGTGTGACTCGGGATGAAATTAAATTGAGTATTATTTGCTTAAACAAATATTGCTGTTTGGTACTTTGCTTGAAGTCAGGGAGAAGGCAGGCTACATAGAGCCAAAATTAAGTCATCATTTGTTCACAAAGCTGAAATTATTTTGATTACTTGAAAATTAACTGTAATCTTACTTTTCTTCCTTCTTCACTGGGAAAGGGATCTATCACTCTTGAATTGTCCTCTTCCTCCCTTAACCAACCCAGCATGCCAGTGTTTCTGAAACCCAGGTATGATCTTCCTGGTTCCTAGCAAGGTAAGGGAATAGAACCTTCTAGTCTTTGGAGTAGTTCCTAAACTAGGGCCAGAGACCATGAAACTGACTGACTGAAGTTGCAAGTATGAGAAATGTACTTTGAAAAGTCTTTGTTTGGGAAATAAAGGGCCTCACTTTGTTCTTTAATTTTGCAGAAATCCATTGACCTTTATATAAGGGATGTCACCCCCCGCCATTCATAACATAAGAGAATTCATGAGAATGTGTGGGGTGCACATATTCAGAACAGAAATCAGAATACAGTTCACAGTCATTCTCTTGCAAGATGGATGAACCTCCCTAATCTCTGGTTCTTCCTTCACCTCACTTATCTTAAAAGACAGCTTACAGGCTGACTGGGTGTCATAATTTTTTTTTTTTTTGATAGAAATCAAATTGCTGAGAAGTGAAGGGATAAAGGGTGTCTGCCTGTCCTTTGAGTTTATAGGACACCCAGAAATCCATCAGTCCCTAGTAACCATGGGGTTATTTACGGGGAGGGGGCTACTTGCTATGAATGCTATTCTTGCAAAGGCCCAGTAGGTCCTAAAGGAAAGCATTCTTCAATCAGTAACTGCTGATGTTTTGTCTTGAGAATGTTGAACTTCTCTTCAGAGAATTCAGATAAAAGGTGAAAAAGTTCACACCACTTCCTTCTAACTGCAGTTTCTTAAGAATTTAACAAATCTCAGAGGGACTCTAGTCTTCTTTTGATGCACACGCATGTACACTTTGGGCTTACCCTTTGCCTCCTGGATGATACAAAGAGTTAGCATATTCCATATTTTTTCCCACAGTGACATCTCCAGAAGGGTTTCTCTTGGCCTGTCTCTCCACCTGCCTCCAGATGTGGTGTGCATCTTGAGAAGTCAGACTGCAGCTAGAAATGCTTTAATTGGCTCCTACTTGAGCTGTACACTTAATTGTGTGTATGTGTGTGTGTGTGTGTGTGTGTGTGTGTGTTGGTGGTAGTGGTGGTACTAGAGTTTGAACTCAGGACTTTGCACTTGCTAGGCAAGACTCTACCTTTTTAGCCAGGCCTCCAGCCCTGAGCTGAATACTTAAATATGGAGTTGTGATTGAGTGAGTTGAGGGTCTGACTGAGAAGTTCTTTTTTTTTTTTTTTTTTTTTTTGCAGTACCGAATCAGGCTCTACACCTTGAGTCACTCCACCAGCCCTTTTTTGTTTTTTGTTTTTTTTTTCTGAAATAGGGTCTCGCGAACTATTTGCCCAGGCTGGCTAGGAACAGCAATCCTCCTGATCTGCCTCCTCAGTAGCTAGGATTACAGATATGAGCCACCAGCGCCCGGCTGAGAAGTTCTTTTTGTGTACACAAATATCATTGCTTTCTTTTTGGGTAATAAGACTTCTTATTAGGGGGAACATAATGTTACTATGTTTTCTCCCTTTTTTTTGAGTCCAGTTTTTTGTTTCTTCTCCCTGTTGAGGTTGAAGTTAGCTATGACTTGGTACTCAGAGAGGTATTCAGGGCTGGGGATAGAGTTCAGAGATAGAGCGCTTGCCTAGTTTGCGCAAGGCCCTGGGCTTGATTCTCTAGAACTAAGGGGAGGGGGAATAACAACAACAACAACAAAACATTCAAAGCTCCAGATGTAATTTTCCCAGCTGGAATGAATGGGATATTCATGGGCTTTCCATGAAGAGCTTTTAACCCTTGTGTAGTCATACTGGGAATTTCAGTTTCACCACAACTTCCTTCCAAAACACACCTGTCCCTGAGTTAAGCAGTCAAGTGGCCCTGGGTTACAGGGAGCTCAGGAGAGTGTCTGCATTGTTTAATCCCAGCACACGTCCTGAAATAGAAAAATAATCCCTGTGAGGCTGCTCAAAGGAACTTCCCCTGCTTACTGAAAATCTGTTCTTGGGGAAGTGTTTAAAAATTCTAAATCCCTGATTAACAATTCTCTCCAACTAAAGTGCTACATCTCAGGAAACAGAACAGGGCAGGACCTGCTCTTTCAATGTCTAGCCATATTGTCCTGGCCCTACCTGCTTCTCTTCCCTAAGTGAAGATCATTGACCCCCCCACAAAAAACCTTGGAAAAGGAAAAAGTATGTATAGTATGACCTCATTTTATTAAAAATGTTTATGCATACATATGCGCACAAAGATCGGAGGGATGCGGCACTATGTACGCCCTGTTTCTATCTTTTAGTTTTTGCTCACCTGCATTTTCTTATTTCCTGTCACATATGTGTAGCTTCTGTTGTATTAAATGTTATTTTCTTTTTAAGAGGGGAGGTGAGAAGACTAGTGATAATAATATTTCAAAACCTGACAACATGAGAAAATGACTCATAACTTGTTTGTTGAACCAGCTAGTTGTTGACTTTTTGCCATGTGTAAAATCTCATTATTGTCTCTCTCTTCCTTTTGTAGTCTTTCTTGGCTATTTTGGGATGACTAGGCCTTCTGCTGATGGAGGACTAGAAAGTAGCCTTGTCTTCATGTCCCAGGCTTCTTTCTCCTACATTGCCCTAAAGATAGTGAGATAGTAAGATAACATCCCCACACCTCCAGCTAGAACCTCTTGATCAGGCCTGGTTTTTTCTGTTAAATTACTCAGCCCCCACCCCACAGTTTATCTCTGGTCAAACTGAGAAGGACAGCTAGAAGCACCTCACTTTCTGCACCATCTGTTCCCTTCCTCCCTCCTTTTTATCCCATTCCTGCCCTTCTAAGAGCTGTCACCTTCTTCAGATTCCTCTCTGGAGATATGCTGGTGTGGTTAGGCCTGAATAGATTTCCAGCAAGGGATCTTCGGAGCATCAGAGAGGAATTGGTAGACCTTTTGAAGGGGTATTTGTTAGGGGAAGTCCCAGGAGTGGCTGGCACTGTCGGGTCAGTTACATCTGCCTTTCCTGCTTGGACCCTGCCAGCAGCTTCTTGTCTTACTCCTCTTGTCTCAGCAGTGTTTTGTCACAGAGCCTGGCACACAGTGGGCACTCAAACCTGTTTCCTGGAATTAGGCCACAGTGTGCTGGGCCCTTCTACCCTTAGTTCAGTGTCTCGTCTGCTGTTGGGTGCTGTTGACCCCAACCAACAGACACCAGATCGCCTGGCCTTTCACTTCCAGCCCCTCTCCCCAAAGCCATACAAATGGAGCAGTTGGGAGACAGGGCCAAGTGGCTCTGGAAGATAGCACCTAAGGCTTCTTATCTCCAGTGTGTGCTGTTGTGTTTTGTTTTTTTCCATTTGCTGTTGCCCAAGAACCAAAGCATCCGCCCCTGCTCAGCTTCGTGGTGAAATGGCCTGGCCTGGTGCCAGGGTACTCCGCCAGGTGGCTGGGCTGAGGAGGCTGCTGCATGTGATGGGCCGATAATACCCCATGGTGTTGTAAACAGGACACTCCACCCTCCTGCAGCTACCCAGCCAGTGCCCCAGCGCCTGCTGCTTTGTCATAGCCTGTCATGAAACAGCCTTCTCTTCTCTGATATGGGAGCTGATTGTACTTCTTCCCAAATCTGAGAGGGGTACTTTCCAGAAATGAAACCAGTTCATCTTCCAACCACAAGTAACCGTTGTCACTTCTCAGTGCTTCCTATCCTTTAGCCATAATCACACAAGTGCAGGGCAGAGCCCACTACCCAGATCTTTCCGGTGTGCCTCTGGGGAAAAAGTCATGAGCCCCAACCAGAACAATACTCACTTGTGAGATTTCTTAGGGGATGTTCTCAACTGAGGTCCGTCTCATTGGGCAATAGAACTTAAGTGCTGACCTGCAGCTGCTTATAACTCTATAAGTACCTTTATCAGTTTGGGCTTTTATATTTTGGGTTTTTGTTTTGTTTTGTTTTGTTTTTTTGAGACAGTCTTGCTATGTAGGCCAGGTTAGCTTGGAACTCACAATCTTCCTGCCTCAGCCTCCCAAGTACAGAGATTACAAGCCTGTATTACCACACCTGGCTATAAACAGCTTTCTATTCCCCTGTACCATTTATCTCAGGTGATGTCCAGGACTGCGTTAGAGCCACTAGTAAAGGGCTTTGACACTAAAGACATGCACCTTCCAGGATACCAGGAGAGTGCAAGCCTATGGGTACAGTGGCTAAAACTTCTCAGCACATATTTCTGTGTAGTCTCCTCTTTCCCCAGCCTCTCACCTCTACCTTCCATCCTAAAGGACTAAAGCATATTTACATCTCTTCTTTCCAGCATCTTTAGCAGGTAATTCAGGCCAGATTGCCCTGTTTGCAGAAGGACAGCAGGCCAAGTGAAGGTGGTGGTGTTGACAGCAGTCATACCATAGTGAGGCAGAGCTGGAGTCAGACCTTCTCTGCTCATATCTTAACCCCTAGCAGAGAATTATGCTTTGTAATAATTAATTAATTAATAATTAATTAATAATTAATCTCTGTACTTGGGAGGCTGAGGCAGGAAGATTGTGAGTTCCAAGCTAACCTGGCCTACATAGCAAGACTGTCTCAAAAAAACAAAACAAAACAAAACAAAACAAAAACCCAAAATATAAAAGCCCAAACCGATAAAGGTACTTATAGAGTTATAAGCAGCTGCAGGTCAGCACTTAAGTTCTATTGCCCAATGAGACGGACCTCAGTTGAAACATCCCCTAAGAAATCTCACAAGTGAGTATTGTTCTGGTTGGGGCTCATGACTTTTTCCTCAGAGGCACACTGGAAAGATCTGGGTAGTGGGCTCTGCCCTGCACTTGTATGATTATGGCTAAAGGATAGGAAGCACATTATGCTTGCCAGCCTGTGGCCCCTTTAAGGATGGCATGGAAACATATCAGTGTCTCATTTTTGGTTTTGGTTCATGTTCCATTGGAGTGAAATTGATACCTTGGTTTAGCCCTTAATCAGTTTTTGTGCCCAGGGCAGCAGGTGCTTACCAAAGAATGTGTGTGTGTGTGTGTGTGTGTGTGTGTGTGTGTGTGTGTGTGTAGGGGGTTTATGAGATAATCCTTTTTAAGGGCCCCTCCCTTATTTGAGTGTCCTCAAAGATACTGGGATATTCCAAGAATTTCGGGATTCATGATGGACAGTGATACCTTGCCAAGGGCTCTGAGACAGAAGGTATTTCTGTCTTATGCTAGCTAGGAGCTGAGCCAGCACCCTGCACTGGGAAGTGACCCCTGTGGAGATAAGGCTGAGGCCCAGTTGTCTCATAATCTAAGGAAAAGAAATGAAGGCAGGGGCTGCAGTTGGACTTGGATGCAGTGAGGTCTTTGCAGATCTTCCAGGAGGGAGAGGCTGCAGTCCGTGTGGGGCACTTGCTCTCTCCTCATTCCTTTCTCTCCCCTCATTTCTTTCTCTCCTTCCTTCCCATCCTATCTTCCATTTTTATTTCCTTTTTACTATTTCTGTTATTTTTTTATATATGGAGAAACAAGGCAGGACCCTCAAAGTCCACAAAGTCTTTGTGAATAACTGATTAAAGGTGGTTGGAAAGAATGTAGAATTGAGCAAAATGGGTAGTTGGATTCTCATACCAAATGCCAAGATTCTGGATACTTCTTACCCTTGTGTACTTGGATGGAGGTGAGTACTTGAGCAAAGTACCATTGTGATCATTGCCCTTGAAATTGAACTATAGTTCACTAACTAGTAACCAATATAAAATTAGTGTGGCTTAAAGTTGTCCTAGGAGATGGGATTCTTCACATGTTTCAAAGTCTTCCTCAAGAAACAAACCAAAACAAAACCAGGCCATTGGAGACTTTAGGTTCAGGCCTGCCACTTCCTACTGTATGCTCCATCCAAAAGGAGCTAAAAAAACAGTCCAGGTAGGTGTTCCTGATGCAAGAGGATTGAACCTCAGGAAACAGTTGTAAGATTGATTTAGGAGGAAGGAGACTTGGAGAAAGATGTATGATACTGCTGACTTCTTGGGAGGTAGAGTGTCATCAAATATGACACTTCTTTGTGCCTTCATTTTCCTTATCAGTCTCCCTAACCCCTTCTAGAGCTGACAGAAGAGTTACATCACATTGGGGATGAGGCAATACTTGAAATTTCTGTGAGAACATGAGTTAATGTGTAAGGGTCTCAGGGCGAAACTAAAGATGTTTATAGCGACTCAGCCTTTGGGGATGGGGCAGGCAGTTCCAAGAGATCTTTCTCCCATTGCTTTATTTTCAGCCCAGGAGTCACAGTCCCCTTCCTTCAAAACAGGATGAGGCAGCCTATAAGATTATGACATTTTAGCCTGTATGCCCGTCATTTGTTTCTCCTCCTCTCACCTTCCTCTTTGGTTATCTGTCACATAATTCTGCAAAGCTGCTTTCCAGAGGCCCTACCTATCTCATCATTGGGCTCTTAGGGACTGTTTCAAAGGAGGCCCACAGGGCAGCATTTTGGTGTCTGAGCTAGGTGCTGATGTGGGCCAGAAGCTCCCAGAAATATTTGGTTGCCACCCATGAGTCTTAAACCCAGCACATAAAAATGAGTGGTTAAAATACTACTGTAGGAGATAAAGTTGGGGCTTTCACTAGTGAGCCTGTCACTAACTTACTGGTGACAAGGTCACAGTGAAGGTAGGAAAGAGGTGAGGCCCTCCAGAGCCTTTGCAGGTAGCTATAGGGTTTTTAAAAGTGAGTGGGCTGGGTATGGATACATACAGCAGATTAACCCATAATCTGTGTTATGGGTTAGAGCAGGTTCACCCTACTAGTGGCAAGTTTTCTATTTTATTCAAGTACTTGGGTGTCTGCCAATTGCCAGCCCTTTGCTATAGACACCTGGAGATACAAAGATTAATCACAGACAGGTCTCAGGCTCAGGCTGTTTATTTATCTAGGGGTCACAAATAACCTGTAACCCAACAGAGAGACTGGGTACATAGAAGAGTACAAAGTATGCTGAGGAAACTCAGAGAATTCTGAGACAGTCATTGCAGGGATTCCCAGGATCTAGAGGGCTTGGTGGAGGTGGAGGCAGTTAGGCTGGCCTGACACATGGCTCAGATTTCAATAACTGGGTGGTACCTCAGAGTTGGGAAGGCCCAAGACAACAGTGGGAAATCGTGCTTATGTAGTGTGTTTTGTCCAGAACCTGGAGGAGTGAGATGTAAAGGAGAAGCAAGTGTTTTAACATAGAAATGTTAAAGATCACCTAAAATGATGTGTTGCTGGGTATGGTGATACATCTGCAATCTTAGCACTCAGGAGGCAAAAGGAAAGGAGGATTGCGAATTCAAAGTTAACCTGGGCTGAAATAGCATGACTTTGTTTTAAAAAACAAAACAAGAGGTGTGTTGTAGTCAATATTTGGAAAGAATGTTGCTATAAGGTAAAAGCACATAGTAAAATAGTGTGCAGTGTATATATGCACGTACACAGAAGGTAAGGTCTATGAGAATATGTATCTCAAAATATTAATAGTGGTTATCTCTGGGTATTGAGATTTGAGGTATTTTCTTTTTTGCTCATACATTTTCTATCTTTTCTACAATGCATACTTACTACCTTTTCTACAATGCATACTTACTACCTTTGTCATTTAAGTTTTTAAGTCATTTTAAGTTTTTAAGTAAGCATTTATTATTTGATGGTTGAAGGAGATAATCTAGAAATATGCCAGGGATTAGATAAAAACTGAGAATAAAGTTTGGTTGTACAGAAACATTGATGATACCCAAATGAGAGGGGAACACCTCAAATGTCCAGTGGTGTGGGGATGGCTAAGCAAATTGTTACAGAGATGACAGCCTGGCAGTAGAATGAGGCAGAACATAATTAGTACAGTTTATATTGATTGCAAGCATGTCAAAATATAGGCAAATACATACTTGAATGAATTCAGGGAATGTGAATTACTAGTGTCTTTTTTTAAAAACTGTGGCAACATAATGTAAAACTTGCCGTTTTAAACTTTTTTGTGGTCTTGGGGACTGAACCCCATTTTAAATATCCTAAGTTTACAGTTAAGTGGCATTAAGCACTTGCACGGTGTTGTGCAGCCATCACCACTGTCCTTTTCCAGAACTTTTAAAATCATCCCATACAGAAATTCTGTACCTGTTTAACAATTACTCCCATTTCCCCTCTTCCTAAGCCCCGGGAACCTCTATTTTTTCTGTCTCTATGAATTTGCCTGTTCTAGGTGTATCATATAAGTAGAATCATACCATATTTGCCTTTTCCTGTCTGGTTTATTTCACTTAGCATCATCTGTTGTTATACCATGTGTTGTCTCCACTTTGTGCCTACTATGATTGATGATGCTATGATCGTGGGTGTGCAAATACCTTTCTAGTCCTTGTTTTCGGTTTTTTGGGGGTGTGTACCTAGGAGTAGAATTGCTGGATCCTGAGGAAATTCTCTGTTTAACTTTCTGAGGAACTGCCAACCTTTTAGTGTCTTTTTAATATAAAGCTCTTCAAGTCTATTTATACCTACAGTCTCCAGTTCTTTGTGCTGTGTTTAATATACACATAAATTATCAAGGGATTACTATAGATGTGAAAGTATTTTGTTCTGTTTAAGGAGAGAGCCTTTATAGATCATAAGATAGTGGAATGTTTTGAACATGACCATGGAAAACAAGGTCAACCTGGATCACTGAGACTTCCAGATGATTCCACAGCCCTTACATTTAATTAGCAGTTTGAACTTTTACTTTCTCCCAGAAATATTTAATCAAGTTAAATATAATGAATGGATTTACAACTGCATTATTTTTTCCCCTATTTAGATAGAAGGAAGGGACAGAGGAGAGAACCTAGACTTGGGTATTTTCCTAAACTGAACTTAATCCTAGAGAGTTGAGTATAGTTATATGGGTCTTTTCATCTCAGTCACCTAGGTTCCCTGGAGCTAACTAGTCCTGAAGGAAGTACGAAGACTCCTTCAGTTAATTGAGTAGAATTTGTGCTGTGCATAGGAGCCCTGAAATGGATGCTAGTGGGAGGGAGGAGAGTAGGAAATAAGAGGGAGAAAAGTTTGTTTTTGTCCCTGTTAGAGTTTCATTTTTTATGATGGGCAACTGTGTTCCTCTCAGGAAATTCAGTGTAGAAACTTAGGAATTCATAGTTTATAGTCTACTAAGAATAGGAAAAAGATAGAGGATAAAGTAACCCCTAAGTCCAAAGTAAAATGCTATAAATTGTTTTCAGTGGTAAAGTTAAGTCAGAAAAGGTCTTGTTAGATTACATGTACTTTTGTAGGCAAATTCAAATTCTGTGAGGAGGGAAGTGAAGATGTTGCAGGCAGGTGAGACTTCCTAGAAGAGAGAGAGAAGACTGACTGACTGCCATGTCTCCTTCCTCCATGCTGATGTCAAGGCGTGTGGGCTATGCTCTCTTTCAGCCAGTGTGCCGTGTTCGGTGGCCCCAGAAAAGTCAGTGTGTAGGCCTCAGCCACCTCAGGTCCGACGTACATTCTCCCTGGACACCATCCTCACTTCCTACCTTTTGGGCCAGTGGCCACGAGATGCTGATGGGGCCTTCACCTGCTGTACCAATGACAAGGCCACCCAGGTAATGCAGTTCTCTCCTAATGGTATCAGGAAGGGGTGGGAGGGCTGGCTGAGGAGGACTTTGGTCTCCTCATCAACTTTCAATCATTGAAACGTTTTGTCCTGGGTTTTGGTTGTACATAAAAGCTTTCTATCTCCTGCTGTTTCCCAGCCTGTTTTTCTTTATAAACATTGCTGAAAATGAATTTGCCTTCCACCTGCCTGGAGAAGGGAGGCATCAAGCTGGGGTTTTTGGTTTGGCTTTAAGAGTTCATGTGTGGATAATCAACAGCTGACTGGAGTTTAGGTTTTAAAAAACAAGGTTTACCTTGCTAAAATTAAACTAAGACCAACATTTAATTGAGTTTGCATTCCCCAGACAGCTGGGGGAAGTGGCCAAAATGTGCTGAGCCAGGATGGATCCCATTAGAGCCATAGAATTGGGAAGTTCCCAGGTAACAGAGAGTTTTATTCCTTGCCTGCAGCCCAATCTAGAGTTCCAGGGTCCCCGTCTGCACCCTGTGAAGGCCAGGTTCCTCTCCTTCAGTATTTTTATTTAGGATGGTTTTCTTGTTAAGAATCTTGAGCTTGGAAGGAATCTCCATAGACTATCCAGCCCATCTGTCAGTTTTTGAGTTTAGTCTGAACGAGACATCATCTCATTTGTGAAGTTACACAAAGATATTTCTTAATCTGAAGCAGGACTTTGACATTCTTAGCAGTTGAGTTGGTGAGAGTCAAGGTTCCTTTTGATGCAGTTGAAACTCATTCCTGTTCAAGTTCAGAATGAATGAATTGTTCCTGGATGGGCAGAAGCAGGGAGGAAAGAACACTGGGCTCAGGGTCAACCCTGTCTACTGGTGTCAATGGGCGAGTCAGCTCTTCTTCATACAGTGGGTGGGGTGGGCCTGCCCTGCCTACTTGGAGGCCACATGAGGGCCAGGTGATACGTGCCTCCCTCCTCCTCTTCCCAGCACATAATGTCTGTCCCTTTCTTTCATTCACTTTGTTTTATGAGATCCATGTTCAAATGTCATCAGTGAGTGTTTGGACGTCCAGCCCTGTTCTTAGCATGTTCGAATGAGAAACTAGGGAATGAAGATGTGATTCGGCCTCTCTGAGCCTGGATTTCAGTTCTGTGAAGGCCCGTGAACAAACAGCCAAGGGATGAGATGAGGCCAAATGTCTGGCACAGTTTAGAGGCGCAGGATTCCCCTGGCAATGCCCCACCTTGAGCCAACAAGAATGACAAAAACAACCACAAGTTTAAAACAAGTTAACATCGAGGGCCCTTCTTATGCCTACGAATAGAAGGTAAGGCAGACTATGCTCCAGATAGTAAATGGAGCAAGCCTAGTTCCTGTGAGTCCCATACTGTTTTTTCTTTATCCTTTCACAAGGCAAGGAGAATAGGCTATTCTTCTCTCTCCTAGGCCTAGGAGCACATTCTCCTTTCTCTTTGGGGAGGACTGTTCAGGCCAGCAAATGTACCTAAATCTAGGTGGGCTTCCTGGAGGGGAAGGGCCTGAGGTTGTTTCAAGTGTGTGAGCTCATGAGCATCCCACTTTGTCAAATGGCAGGCTTGTGTATAGATCACCTATCTTTCCATCTGTCATTTCCTGCTGCCAGTCTTCTGGGAAGCCACCATCCCATTCTTCAGTTCTCTCTCTCTCTCTCTCTGTCAGCCCAAGATGGGCTGGCCTCAGACATTCCCTTGTGGGGTGGAAAGGCATGGGCTCTAGGCTTTGTGTTTTTGCCCAGGCCCCAGCTGTAGGCCAGATCTTTTATATAACAAGTCCGGGCTTCTTGCCACAACAAGACGGAGGTCAACGTTGCGCCTCCATGGGTCTGGCAAGGCCCAACCATCCAGCTTTCCTCTTTCCCTGGGATAGGCTCCAGCCCTCGAGGAACTCTTAGCAACCTGTCAATATTGTGGCTACAGGCAGGAGGCTACAGAATTCTGATCAGTGTAGACGTCCAAACCAAAATATGTATTCTGCCCATCTTTTATTCCTGGTCTTCTGGGGATTTTCTGCTGCTAGGTTTGGGCTCCATTCAAATTCCTGCTTGAGACCCTGGCCTGGCACAAGTAACCTTCTTTAACACTGGTATTGCACTGTGAAATCCTGAGGCTCTCCTGCCGTCTCTCTCAATAACGTGTTTCTTCCTTACTAGGCACAGGGAGATCGCCCAGAGACAAAGGAGCAGTTTTACTGGGAAGATGCAGGGAATGTGGAGAAGAAGAGGAAGGCAGAGAGGCAGGATCTACTGGGATCCTATAGAGTTTGGTTTTACAGTGCTGGGTGTGGAACCTAGAGTTACATGCTAGCCAGGTCTCTACCACTGAGCTACATACAGCCCCAGCTCATTGAAAGCTTTTAAGCTGTTAGGAAAGTATGAAGACTAGACCTTTCCCCAGTTGCTTTCAGTGAACCAGCTATTGCTACTTCGTTCCCCCACCTTGTGCCCTTTTTCTTTTAGCCACAGCAATGGAGTGGTTTATTGTCTGCTTTACCCACCATAACTGGCAGCACTCACTACTGTTCTCTTATATGCTCAAGCTCTGCCCAACAGAGAGCCAGGAGCCAGATTGCAAGTTGGAGACCACATCAGTCCTGGTACTCCCAAGGGCATGGCTCACGGTGGGGTTTGCAGCCATGGTTATGGTGGTTATGGTAGAGGCTAAGCAGTTCCTTCCTCCCAATCCCCAAGAGGGAGCCAGAGCCTTGCCCATTCCAAGCCAGTTTCAGACTTGGGCACCAAGCATAGAATACTTGATATTAGAAAGCAGCTTGCAAAGTACTGGAGACTTCTCCGACGGGCAAAAAAATGGAAATAAACACTCTCATACGCTCAGTCCCAGGATTCCCTTTCTGATTGTGTTTTAAGCTCTGTGTCAGGTAGAGAGGGTAGTCCTCAAGCACTTCACTATCTGAAGTGAGGAGCTGGGTTTCCTACATATGTGGAGCAAGAATAGAAGAGGTGTGGAAGGATTTTGTTTGGAAAATTGGCTGTTATAGGAAGGAGGAGGATGTGTGAATGTGGTGACTGAGCAAAGAAGAGCAATGAGATTGTGTGTCCCAGAGATTGGCCACACGAGTACAGGGAAGTGTCTGGATGTAGTAGGAAGTGACCAGGAAGGACTAGAGGGCCCCTATGTGGCATCAGCTTCATCTGTAGGAGGCATCTTTGTGTCTGGGAGGATGTTCATAGGATTCTTCAGGTTTATTTGGACAATACTTTTCCCTCTGTGGCCAATCCTTCCCCCAGGTCAGTCAGTAACCCAGAACTGGCCACTAAAGGCTTTGGGCTGGCCCCTCCTAGTGACTGGGCCTAGGCCAGGGCCAGTGATGGCAGCATATGTTGGTGGCTGTGGTTACCTCTTTCCCTTCTTGCTGTGCAAAGCATTTGAGTCTTCTCATACTCTTCTTGAGGGAGGAAGTGGGCTCACCACAGCTGGGATGACTGTTTGAGCAAAGTTCCCCTGCTGGTTGCATCCTGTCCACAGACAGTACCCTTAGTATTTGCCCTGCCTGGCCCTACACCCATTCTTACCCTCTCCAGTCTGTTTCCTCTGCATTTTTCAGATGAGGTGGAAAAGCCTCTGTGGATAGATATCTATCTCTATCTATCTATCTATCTATCTATCTATCTATCTATCTATCTATATACATATATATCTATATGTATACATATATAGATATATATATATAATATAATATATGTATATATATATAGAGATATCTATCTGTCTGTCTATCTATCTATCTATATTTTGTTTTTTCATTAGCCCTGACTTATCCTTTAAGGGAAAAAATAGCCTAAGTCCTTGATAAACCTCCTGGAGCATCCTGAAAGCCACAGACAGAGGCACGCATACTGGTTTGGGAAGACTTCCTTTCTGTCTTTTCCCTGCTTGCAGGGGGTCCTCCCCTTCTCCTAGGCTACTTCCACAACATTCAGTGATGCCATATAATTCAGTGTGACCATCACAGCCTTTAAAAAATGGTTTTCTTTGTGGGGTGGGGTTCGGACACAGCGCCTATTCTCCAAACTGGAGATTAGGACCAGTTGTTCAGTATGTAGTTTGACAACAGCCGCACATATTTCAAAATGAGGCCATGATGGAAAAATCCAAGGGTTGCCTAGTCACTGTAGGGCCAGAGATGTGGCCTTGGCCACCTGCAACCAGAGTTCTCAGTGTGGCCAGCAGACCCCCCACTCAGAGCCTTTTCCTACCTTTTTAATTGTCCAGAGTCCTAAGGGATAGATTCCCTTCCTGAATTTGAGTTTATCATATAGTTACTGACCATCTCACCCAGGTAGGCACCATGTTCCTCTTCACTTCCACACAGGTATTGTGACTTACGTTTCTAGAGCCCAGCCCAACTCTCCATGTGATGCTCTCTCAGGTGCCAGGGTCACTGGAGACAGCAAATGCTAGGATTCTTTTCGCTTCTGGTCATGGAGTCCAGCACAAACCTAGCTGGGTAAGGAGGCCAAGAAAGACATTCCATCTGGTCTCCCTTTCTTACTGTATTAGGTGGCTTGGGGCAACCATTCTCCACCCTCATGCTCAGTTATCCTACCACATGCTGCTGTGGAACCTCAGAATCCCAAGCAAGGCTTTCTTGATCTAACTATGTCCAGTTGCATAGTCTGTGCATCAGCTACACAGCTGGCTTCTGCCAGTCATGGTTAGCAAGCAGCTTTACTTCTCCCTCAGCTGCTCCCCTTGGCCAGGGTATACAATCAGTCCCCCCTAACAAACAGGGCTTTTTGGTTAGCTGTGCTCAAGTTCTTCTCTGCTTGTAAAGGGTTATCTAGAATGACCATTTACAGTGCTATCATGCAGCCTGGCTTGACCCTGTCATGGCAATCACTTTGAAGGATAGTCTTCCTTAGCTGTGACTTCTCTGTGCCCCCAAGGAGACCTTGATCCAGACCTCTATTATGAGACCTAGAAGAAGAGGATCCTGTCCAACCAGCACACTGGAAGCCGGGGGGATCCTACTAACACACCCAGTGCAGTTTGGAGGTACTGAAGTCCATACTTACGCACATGCCTACCTTAGCAGTACTACCACCAGCATGTCAACAGCTTCAAACTTAGGCTAAGCTACGATGTTAGGTTCCTGAGGCTGTTTTAAAAAATTATCTCAAGTTTAGTAGCTTAAAACAACAGACATTTCTAGAGCCTAGAAGTCCAAATTCAGTTTCAGTGGACTAAGAACAAAATATTAGCAGGGCTACAATCTCTCAGAAGGATCTTTATTTTTATTATTTATTTTGAAAATTTTTGAGGCAGGGTCTATGTAGTTCAAGAGTGGCCTTGAATTCTTGATCCTTCTGTATCTGCCTCTCAAGTATTGGGATTACAGATGTATACCACCATGCTCCACTCAAGATATCTTGGAAGAGTCAGCTCCTTGCCTCTTCTAGATTCTGGTGACTACAGTGTTCCTTGGCTTGTGGCCACATCACTGCAATCTGCCCCTGTGGCCACATTGTTTTATCCTTTTCTGGGTGTGTATAATCTCCCTTTGCCCCTCTTTTACAAGGACATTTATAGTGGAATTTAGGGCTCATCTAGGGAATCCCAGAATAATCCTCCCTCTCAAGATCCTTAGTTAAATTTGCCATATAAGGTAACATTTATAGCCATCTAATATCTGTGAGGGACATTTTCATCTCCCCTCCCCCCAATTCATTTGCTCAGGGGAATTCAACAGAATATGATTAAAGGACTGTTTAGAAAAAATAAAACCATTTCATGATCTTCTATACACACTGAATTGACATTCTATAATACACCAGTTACGCTTGCTTTTGCTTCATACAATTTTTTGACATTTCCAATGAACATATGTCATTTTATAATTAGAAAAACCAATATTATTACCAATAGGGATTCGGAAGCACTAGAGACTGTTTGCAAAATCCTGAAAAGCATAAAATAGAAAATAAAAGTCACCCATTGTGATACTACTAATACTTTTGAACCTGTTCCCTTACTGACCTCTCCTGCTATTCTTTCCTGGCCTCACTCTGCTCCCACCATCCTGGCCACCTTATGATTCTCAAACACACTGGGCTTGCCCCTGCTCTTTCACTTGCTGTTCCCTCTATCTTCATTGCTTCCTCACCTCCATCTGGTTTTATTCATATGTTACCTGTTCCATGAGGATTCCTGTGGCATTTCAAATCACATTCCTCCTGTCCAGCATTCCTATCCCATCTGTTGGCTGTATTTTCTCTTCAGCAATATCACTGTTTAAACTGCCTCCAATTAAAATGTAAGCTCAGGAGTCAAGAATTTTTGTTGTTCTGTGTACTGTTGTGTCCCCAGCACCTGGAATAATACCCAGCACACCTTATACATTCAGTAACTGTTCATCCAGTGTGTGAATGTTGTACACCCTCGGCCCATCTGCACAGAGGAGACCAAGCAGAGGAGTACCCAGCCTGAAGCATCCGAGTTAGGGTGGGCTCCCTGATGATGAGGCTGGAAATAGCTATAGGGCAGACCATCTTAAATGGAGAGACCATGCTTGGAGGCTAGGGGGTGAGGATGAAAAGGGAGATGGACTTGAGTTTGCCTGGGCAAAACAGAGAGCCCCTGAACTGAAGAGTGAGATGGTGATAGCTACAGTCAGAATGCAAGTGTTGAGAAAAAACAATGGCCTTAGCAGTTTATGTGTTCAGCGTGGGCAGTAATTGGTGGAAGATGTTGCTGAGCAAAGAGAGGTGGGGAAAAATGGATTGGGAGGGGAAATTACTCTGGCTGCCATGATTTTCACATCTTCTATACACTTCTGTGCCAGCTGACATGTCTCCTTCCACCCCCTCATATATTCTGGAAAAAAGAAGGTAGTCAAAGAGTTTGAAGAGATATAGTCAATGGCAACCTGAGTAAAGCTGTTCCTGCTCCCTCTCACCACCCACCTGCAAGCACAGTATCTTCCTGGACAAGAAGAAATGGGCCCCATCACCTTGGTTTTCGCCACCCCTCATCTATGGCCTCTGCCATCTTTCCAGGGGCAACAGGCTGTGTGGGACTTAGCTTTGCAAGCAGAGCTGGTAATCTACAGTCTTGGCTTTGACACCCTGGGAAGGGAGGATGCTCACTGTCATGGTGCCTGAGAGAGAGAGAAGAGGGCTTCCATCCAGTCTTTTCTGAGGTTCTGACACCTCGTTTAGTGAGAGCCAGGCATTTAAAAGAAGGTCAGCTGCTTGGTTTCCAGAGAATGTCAGAGCCAGTGTCCCCAGGGGCTCTGGGATATGTGCCCATACTAGAGGCTGCAGAATGTGCTGGTTGCCCTTTTCCTAAAGGAGGAACAGTAGGAGATACCTCTTGGGATGTGCTGCCAGTGTCAGGACAGGGAAGTTAGGGCATTTGTCTTATCCTGGCTTGAGTTGCAAAGCCCAGTAAAGGTCCTGCTCTTGGGCAGCTGGAAGCAAGAAAAACCAGGGGCTCAGGCGGCAGTGGCTCCTCTCCATGCAGCTGTTGCTCATGACAGTCTGCTCTCCATAATCCAGCTCAAACCGCCCTGCTAGCTCCTCTTAGCAGCTGTTGGGTGGTGAGTAGTTGTGTTTCCCACCCCCCCCCCCATCACCTCCCCTGCAGCAGTCTCTTAGGGGAGGTCAGCTGATCTTTTGGAGGAGACAGTTCCCAGGCCCTCATGTTTCTGGCAGCATGTGCACAGAAGTTAGAAAGGATCTGGTCCCACTGGAGCCTCCCCTTGGGCTCCTCCCTTGGAATGGAAGTAGAATATTGGTGGTGGGGAGGGAGCTGGGCCTCTTCAGCTTCATGCTTGGAGCCAACAGTTTCCTCCCTTGGTGGGGGCTCAGGAAGTGTTTCCACAGCTTCCCCATCTCCATCTTGGGCCTTCTGTCTACATGCAGCAGAGGAAGGAAGGCAGCAGATGGTAAGTCCTCTTAGGGGACAGAGCAGGCCCATGAGGAAGAAGAGGAGGAGTTATCAGGCTAAGAGGTCAGAAATCACAGCTGGGGTTGAAATTCTGGATCCTTACTCTCTGACAATGTCTCCTCCCTGGCTCATTCAAGAGGACTTTGGGGCCAGGCGCCAGTGGCTCATGCCTGTACTCCTAGCTACTCAGGAGGCAGAGATCAGGAGGATCGCAGTTCGAAGCCAAGCTGGGCAAATAGTTTACGAGACCCTAACTCAAAAAACCCTATTACAAAAAATTGGGTTGGTGGAGTGGCTCAAGATGAAGACCCTGAGTTCAAGCTCCAGTACTGAAAAAAAAAAAAAAGGATTTTGGGGCCCCCAGCACTCATTTTGCTTGTAGAAAAAGATGAAGGAATAAGCTCAAGGCGCTGCACTACACAGGAGCCTCCTGTGGACAGACCTCCTGTCTGGTGATTTGTGTCCTTAGGCTCTCTTAGGCTTGTGCTGGACACATTAGGAGTGAGAGAATAAAGGATAAAGTGGATTCCTGAGCTGGTTGAGAGAGGTACTTGGCCTCACCCTTGGGAAGCATCTGGAATGAGTGGGACTATAATACCCATCTGAAAGTCATAAAAGAGGAAAGAGGTCAGCTCTATTGAGCCATCAGAAAGGTTTCCTGGGAAATGTAAACCTGGATGAGGTTCTGCAGGTGATTCTCGTGCATGGAGGTATATAGCAGGCTGAGCATGTCAGAAGGCTGATGAGCAGGTACAAGAAAGCTTCACAGCCCACCACCTCTGCCCAGGAAACCATGTCTATTTCCTGGGCCTGCTGTGAAACTGTATCTCTCTCTCTCTCTCTCTCTCTCTCTCTCTCTCTCTCTCTCTCTCTCTCTCTCTCTTTCTCTGTGTCACTATTTCTCCCCTGTAGACCCCCTTATCCTGGCAAGAGCCGGAAGGTGAGCTGGCCAGCTCCTGCATGCACAAGCGCTCAGCATCCTGGAGCAGCACAGACCATCGAAAAGAGGTAACTGCCTTCTGATTCGTTGGCTGGACCAGCTGCCTCTTTTCTCCCCACTGCTCCCCCACCCCCCATGCACTGCCTCTGCCCTAAAGGGCAGTCGTACTTCCAGTCTCCCTTGTCTCCATCCAGCTTTGTCCTAAGGAGATGGCCATTTAGCACTGATTCCCAGCTTCCTGATGTCCTGGTTTTAGGAGCCCAGACCTGGTAGGGTAAGGCCAGGCCAGTGGCTGATGGTTCCTTCCAGCAGCAGGCACAGGATTGAAGTTGGAGAGCTGTTTGTCATTCTCATTTTAAGATTAGATCCAGATAAGCAGTTCAGAGACTAAAGGAAGACTGGGAATGAGTGCCTGGGAATCAGGAACCCCTGACCTCATTTACTACTTTACTTTCCATCTAGCTTTATTTTTAAAAGAAGGCAAAAACAATCCTGTGTTCCTAAATACTTTGTCCTGGCCCTCTGTTGCCTCAGAAAGGCTCAAGAATTGAGGATGAGAGAAAGCCATAGGCTGAAATCCCAGAGCTCCCAAGCCAGCTCTTGCTGATATGTCACATGGCAGTTCCTAAGAGGGTCAGCTTGCTAGGACTCGCCCTTGACCCCTTCACAAAAGGAAGTTGCCTTTTCCCTCCTTATTGCTGAGAACAGTGATGACATATGAAGTGAATGCACTACACGTTTAAAGATAAGGGAAAACTTTAAAAATACGTAATGTCTTCGGTGTCAGAGTAAGCAAGTTATTCACACTAAGGGTAGGGAGTCATGGTGTGAGTGATCCACAATGGCTATAGACACAGTTTTATGGCTATGGCAGCAGATCTACACTCTGAGTTCCATTTCAGCTCCCATTTATATAGCTCTGCATCTATGAGCCAGCCAAAGGTAAAAAGGTACAGAATTACCTTTACATTACAGACATGACAGAGATAATATTAAAAAGTTGTTAAAGATACTCTAGTTGTTACAGGGTATGGGAGTTAAGATAAAATGTGGTATTCCTTCTAGAGAGCCTATCCTTGCATAGTGTGTCTACTTTAAAATGGGGGAATACATCCATCCCTCCTGGTCTCAGGGCCTTTGGGATGCTGAGAATGTCCTTTGAGGAATAAACTGCCGTTGGCATTCACAAATATCACCTTTCTTTGCTCTTAGTGGAATAGTATCCCACACCTTTTGTAATCTGTGACTGACAAAATGGTTCTAGTGTTGTGTATTTTCAGTTTGTTGGAGACCGATCTATCTAGGGAATAAGTGATAATTCAAAAAACCAATCCACCTGATCTGAGGTTTTAACTCCACTAAGCCATTTTGAGATGGGGGATTAACTTCTGTGTCCCTTGCTTCTCCTCTTCATCTCTGGCTACTAGATCACCAAATTGAAGCAACAACTACAGAGGACAAAATTGAGCCGCGGTGGGAAGGAGAAGGAGCGGGGCTCCCCCCTCCAAGGGGACCACACTGTGCGGGGTTCTGTGAGGGTATGTGTTCTCCCCGACCTGCTCCTGTCATTTTCCATGGTGGGCTCCCCCAGTGAGAAGAGTTTTCACCAGTCTTGCAGCACTGAGCCCTGCCCCATTGCGTGCTTTGGGGCCACATCGGTGGTCAGGCAAAGTTTTAGTCCAAACTTGGACTTACCTGAGTGACATTGGGCTTTTTACTATTCTGAATGACTCTAAAGACCTCTCAAAACTCTAGCTTCTGGAGAAAAACCCACCAAATGGGCCTATTACAATCTGTAGCTGTTCCTAAACTGTCCTTTATTCACTTGACTCTGCTGTGTGAACATGACCATCACCATGCTGTATCACCATGCCTGTCTCTGGGATTAATATCATCAGTTTATAATTTACCTCCTTGTTGATTTTTAAATTGAATACATGCAGTATTTCATGTATGCCAAAACGCATGCTCATGATTTAGTGGGGAGGTGGGGGGTAAAACTACCATCAAGTGTTTAAAAGGAGAGCGGCAGGTATTTAATCTGTGCTAACCATGTGCATGTTTGTCCTGCAACAGCTTACAGTAAGAATTGATGACTAGATGGGGCTTGGTGGGGCTTCATATGATTGCTTCATTTGCCCCTCTGCAGATGTCCCCTCCCAGCTTTCCCTCAGGGTCCCCTGTTCTGCGACTCAGCCCCTGCCTGCATAGGAGCCTGGAAGGCCTCAACCAAGAGCTGGAGGAGGTGTTTGTGAAGGAGCAGGGCGAAGAGGAGCTGCTGAGGGTGAGTGGTGGGTTGTGTCCAGAGCATACCAATGGGCAACACCAGGATGAGTCTGTGTGGGGAGACGGGAGTGCTACTCTCTCCAGCCTCTCAGACTGTAGTTCTGTAAACAACAGCATACAACACCTGCCTGCCAGAGAAGCACAAATGGAGTCCTTTTGTCTCTCTGGGCTTAAGTGCTGTGATAGCACAGGCAGATGGGTGTAACTGGGGAAGGTCTTGTGGAGGAGAGTAGAGAGGAACAAGGATGGGCAGAGAGGTGAGTGCCCAGCTGGGAGGAAGATGCCAACTCACTGTTCCCTGAGTGCTCAGCACTGTTACTCACCTGTGCCTCATCTCATGCCACCCCACTGCTGGGTCACCACTTCCCTCCGTCTCTACCTGATGACACACATCCATCCTTCATGCCCAGGTTGACCCATGCAGCCTTTTCCCTGCCCACTCCAAGGCAGATTATATGCTATCTTTCTGCAGTTTCACATACATTTATATACAGACAGTACAACTAGGGAATGCCATTTGGGCAGTATTAATATAATTTTTTTTTGTGGGGGTGGTACTGGGGTTTGAACTCAGGGCCATGTGCTTGCTAGGCAAGTACTCTACCATTTGACCTACATCAACTCTTTTTGCTTTAGTTATTTTTCAGTTAGGGTCTCATGTTTTCTGCCTAGTGCTGGTCTCAGACCATGATCCTTCTACCTTTGCCTCTCACGTAGGTGGGATTACAGGGCTATATCACCATGCCCGTCTCTGGGATTAATATCATCAGTTTATAATTTACCTCCTTGTTGATTTTTAAATTGAATACATGCAGTATTTCATGTATGCCCAAACACATGCTCACGGTTTGGGGGGTGGTGCAACTGCCATCAAGTGTTTAAAAGGAGAGCGGCAGGTATTTAGTCCATGCTAACCATGTGCATGTTTGTCCTGCAACAGCTTACAGCAGGTATAGTGTCCTGATAACTTCCCCTACCATTTCTCTCTGCAAATCATTCACATTTGTGTTCCAGAGCCCAGCACACAGAGAGTCCCTTCTCTAGTGAGGCTTATAGGCTGTGGGGTGACACATTGATCACACCACACAGATGGATATGTGATTATGCATTGGCCTGCCAGTGTTATGAGGGAAAAGAACAAAGTGCTCTGGAAGAAATCTCCCTAGATTGAAGGAGGACAGGGAAATAAATGTTGAGGAAACAGTATGCTGTTGACTCTGCATGTTAGGAAGGGATGGAGAATTATCCTTGGGGTCACTACAGTGCCACAGGCCTGAGAAGGCCTAGACTGAGAGTCTCCCTTCCCTCCCCGTCAGATCCTTGAGGTCCCTGATGGGCACCGTGCTCCGGCTCCTCCACAGAATGGAAGCTATGATCATCCCCTCCTCCTCCTGGAGCCAGGCAACCTTGCTAGCTCTCCCTCCATGCCTTTGGCATCTCCCCAGCCTTCTGGCCAGGCCAACCGTGAGGAGTACCAGGGTGCCATTGAAGAGTTGGCATCTGTCTCCAGTGACAAAGGTAAGCTGTAGAGCTGAGGCAGCAGGGCTAGCTCTGGACTACAAGAGGGCCTTCACTCCCCTTTCCTACTAAGCAACTCTAGGCCCAGCCTTGTTATTTATGAGCCAACTAAATTACCTTTGTGAGTCATCTTCATTCTGCACACCATACCAGTAATAATAATGGCGTTTTACAGAACATTCTGATTTGTGGCTTAAAAAGTCTCTGTGCCTATACTTTTACTTAATCTTCACTGAAATCCAAAAATAGCAGTCCCTCCTGACCCGTGTTTTGGCTGAGGTGGAGAGCCAGTGTGTCTCTGTTTAGGTGTCCCCTCTATTCATTGCAAAAACGGCTTAAAGGCCGTCGTAAATGATATAAGAGATGTGATCTCTTGTCAATGGTTCCTCAGTTTGACCCAGACTGGCACCTAAACTTTCTGACTCCAAATCCCTACTTCCTCCTGTGCCCTGGCTCTTGGCTGAGCGGATGAAGACAGTGATCCCTATGTTATAAAGCACTGTTGCCTACACCGTCTCCTGTGATGTTCTCAGCAACCTCATGAAGTAGGCTGGTCAAGGGCATGATCACCAATATACATAAGTTAATAGAGCATAGAATAAGGGGGAATAAATGTGAGATAGATACAGATAAAGTCAATATTTGCCACATAGTCAAAGTACATTCATGGCATGGAAAGTGAAAGGAATTTTATCCTCTGGGTGGGGTCGAGTCAAGGTTGCTCCTCAGAGTTGGTACTGGAGCACTCTCTGTGAAGAGGGATAGATTTTCCAGGCCGCAGACAAGACAAAGCCTGGGGGTTGCTGGCAGGCAGGTGTTGCACTCTTGGGAGAAAGAGAGGGATAACAGGTAAGGTTCCTTTAAGCCTGAGGCCTGGAAGTCCAGTTCCTGTTTGCCTTCTGGGAATGTAGGATTAGAAAGAGACCTGTTCCCATCAATTCTAGTTTTTGTTTTTTGTGGTGCTGGGAATGGAACCTAGGAACTTGTGTACACTTAGCAAGTACTCTATGACTGAGCTACATCCCCAGCCCTCATCTGTGTATTTTTAAAATTCTGTTATATGATATGTATGTTTTTAAGCAGCTTCAGTGGTTTTTTTAAGGGAAAATATGAAACCAACAAACATGACTTGCAGAATCACCTCAACTTTACACCCAGGGCTGGAGCTGAGGAAAGCAGAGGCCCTTCCTTCATCTCCACTGGACTCAGCCTTGTTCTGTTTGCAGCTTCTTCTCTGGGCCACCAAACCTTCCTTGAAGATGGCAGCCCATCTCCAGTTCTTGCTTTTGCTGCCTCCCCTCGGCCCAATCACAGCTATGTCTTCAAACGGGAGCCCCCAGAAGGCTGTGAGAGAGTGCGTGTGTTTGAAGAGGCCACGTGAGTACATGCAATAGAAGGCGTGGGAGGGAGGGACAAGAATGGAGGGTGAGCCCCGTGTTATCCCACCTGACAGGCCCTTCTTCAGTCTTGGTTTCTCTCTCGCCTAGAGGTGTTGTCAACATCAGATTATGAGTATTGCAGTTTTTTCCATGATCAAACTTGTTGACATTACCTACTCTGAGCACTTAGATCTTTGCTTATCATTATCTCCATAGAAACCTGCTCTCTGCCCACATGCCAGCCACAAGCACAGCAGGAGCTGGAAAGGAAAGATATCGGAAACCTAAGCCCTTTGTTTCTTCTATTTTTTTTTTTCTCCAATCCCTGGGGAACGTGGAAGGATTTGCTAGACCATAATCAGAAAGAGAGAGAGAACGTCTAGTAGTTCTTTACCCTGTGGCTATAGTGGTTCAAGTGTCATGAACTCCCAGACAGAAATTTCCAGATCTTGCAAGTAAGGACTATGAAATATTCCCAAACATGATTGGGTAGTTCAGAAGCCATTCTGCTGAGCTCTTTACATTTCCCTACAAATAGCAGAAGGTTGAGAGCCACCATTCCAAGTCCACATTAACCCCCTTATCAGGCCCTGAAAACTCCTTTCATTTTCCCCTACAGCTCCATATTCATTAGGGCAGATTCACGCTGGAAGTTGTGGTTTCAATGGCAGTCAGGAAGTTTAGTCATGGCGTTGGAGGAAAGGTTTGTCTTGGACTGGGTTTGGGCATTGAGGGCACCATTTGTATCTCAAAAGAGGGAGAAGATAATCCACGGTGATGGGAACACCACTCCCAGAGGGTCTTTGTTACTGTTACTGCTGCTGCCTGGTATCCTTCAAGCCTCTGGTCCTCTGAGGCATTGTGGAGGGAAAAGGCCAGTTCTTGCAGCTCAAGCACAGACTGGGCTCCTTATGCCTTCTCTCATTGCATGCTGAATATGCTGGCAGAAATTAGGCTGTTGCTTGTCCTGATTCTTCACACTTATGATGCCAGAAGTGGTCTGAAATCATGTCATAGCCTCCTGTTCTGTATTAACCCTTTAAGACAGGTGGTGCTCCATCTGTTATTTTCAAAGATATCCTGGGTTTGAAATTCTGAGGTCTCTTCCTTTTACCAACTTTCCTATTGGCAAGTTATTATGTGTAGTATTTCTTCTTATATTTTCCAATTCCTAGAGGAAGAAGGCCTGGATTTCCTAGGGAAGGAGTCAGGCTGCACTGGGCACAGTGGTTCACACCTATAATCCTAGCTACTTGGGAGGCGGAGATCAGGAGGATCACACTTTGAAGCCAGCCTGGGCAAAAAGTTCATGAGACCCTATCTTAAAAATACCCAACACAAAAAATGGGCTGGTGGAGTGGCTTAAGCAGTAGAGCACCTGCCTAGCAAGCATGAGGCACTGAGTTCAAACTCCAGTACCACCAAAGGAAAAAAAAAAGTCAAAAACTGGTCAGGATCCTGCTGGTTGTATTCATGTTCTTCAAATGTTGCTTGGTGCTCTCTTGGTCACACACCAGGAATATTCCTTCTGCTGCCCATTCCCCACTCCTCCGTAAAGTTGTATTCTTTTAAACCCTTCTCTGCCTCTGTGGGATCTCTGAGCCTTCCCCCACACTTCCAGCACATGAGACCATCATTGGTTGCCACCACCTCTCTGTGCCAGAGGTCTACCTTGTCTTCACATCTCACTCTTCTCTCTGGGCCTTGAAATGATGAGATTTCTAGGATTAAAGTGAAAGTCAACATGAGTATATTTTTCTGTGTATACACTTTAATAAAAACCATTAGTGACAGAGCTCCACCATCTTCCACACACATTTGTCTTCTCATTGGAAGCCTCACAGCCTGTAACTTCTCAGGCTCTCCTCCAAAAATCCATTTTCCCTAAATGATCAGGGTAAGGACTGTTCTTCCCACATTAAAGGTTAGATCACATGGTGAATTAGAACCTAGATCTGAGACGATGTAACTAACTGCTAATCTTACAGTTGTTGCTATCTTTCCTCCCAGAAAGTTTTGCCAGTCACATTGTTCAAATGTGTTCAAGAATTAGACTTTTTTTTTTTGGCACTGGGTTTAAATTCAGGACTTCTCTCTTACTTCTCTCTTGCAAAGCAGGCCCTCTACACACTTGCAGTCCATTTTAGAGATGAGGTGTTGTGAGTTATTTGCCTGGGCTGGTCTTAAACTGCAATCCTCCCAAACTCAGCCTCCCAAGTAGTTAGGATTATAGGTGTAAGCCACCTGCACCAGGCTAAGAATTAGATTCTTTAGGCCAGTAGATTTCAATGAAAGACATTTCTGTCCCTAAGAGGACATTTGGCAATGTCAAGACTTTTTTTTGTGATACTGAGGATGGAACCCAGGGCCTCATTCATGCTAGGTAAGTGCTCCACCAGTGAGCTACAGCCCCAGTCCAAGAAACATTTTTAATTGTCACAACTTGGAGTGAGGGTGGTATTACTGGTATCTAGTAGGTAGAGACCAAGGATTCTGTTAAATGTCTATGATGCACAGGCCAGTGCCTCCCCACTCCTGCAACAAGGGATTATCTAGCCCAAAATGTTAATAGGGCAAAGGCCAAGAGATCCCCCTTAGGCTATAGCATCTCAGAAAGCCACTATACCTTGATCTGTGTTTTCAGACAGGTGATCTGCTTCTGACACACTATTCTTTGATGACATCTTTTAAATGAAAAGATCCCTTGTTTTCCTCTTCTAGAGTCACTGTTGAGAAGCTATCCCTCCTGTTTCTAGCTAAAGTATATTCTCTGTTGTTAAGAACAATGAATGGGCTAAGGATATAACTCAGTGATAGAGCACTGCCTAGCATGTGGGAAGCCCCAGCTTCCATCCCCAGAACAATAATAATTGGAGAGCTGAGGGGCTTAAAGACTGGCTTTTCCTTTTTTGGTCAAGTTATTATCCCGGTTGAGTAGAGACCCAGCTCCCCTGCTGTGGCAACATCTCTTACTCTCTCTTACCGTCTGTTTCTCTACATATTATGTGTGTCTCTCTCTATCCTCCAGGTCCCCAGGTCCTGACCTGGCCTTCCTGACTTCCTGTCCTGACAAGAACAAAGTCCATTTCAACCCGACTGGCTCGGCCTTCTGCCCTGTCAACTTGATGAAGCCCCTCTTCCCGAGCATGGGCTTCATCTTCCGTAACTGCCCCTCAAGCCCGGGCTCTCCCCTTCCCCCTGCCAGTCCCAGGGCACCACCTCGGAAGGATCCAGAGGCTTCCAAGACCTCTCCACTGCCATTCGAGCCATGGCAGCGCACCCCACCATCAGAAGAGTCCGTGCTTTTCCAGAGCTCCTTGGTGGTCTGAGGGGATTCCCCTAACACACCCCAAACACACACTTTACTGCGGAGACCAGTGCCTTGGTGGCAGGCCCTTTAGCTCCCCGAGTTGGGGGATAGAGGAGCCCCTCCCTCTCGGCCTTTGAGCACTTTCATTTATTGTGTCAAAGCCCCAAGTCCTCTCTCTGATGGACACCAGCCCCTCTGAATGTGAGGGGACCTGCCTTCTCCACTAGCAGCCGTGCAGCTCACAAATTAACACGTGTACCTGCTGCTTCCCACACCTGGCGGAAACTCACCCAGAAGGTCTTGAGTCCGACACCACAGGGTGTGAGTCCAGTTGACTTATAGGAGGCTCTTGTTGTCATGGAGCAAATTGGCCATGACTGAGAGAAGAGACATCACAGATTTCCTTCCTGCTCCACCTCCAGAGACACGAAGAGCAGACCAGAAATAGATAGGCCATTCCCATGCCTTTTTCTCTTTGGAGTGCTGACCAAAGCGGCCCTAAAGGGCCATAACACTTGACCAATTCAGCTGCTAGCAGAGGGGGGGAACCAAGTGTTTTCCCAAGTGGCATTTTCATCTCACTTTCACCCTGACTAAAGATTGTCTTAAGCATCAGTCCAGCCCCCAGGTCGGGAGGGGTGGGTGGCTGGAAAGCTTGGCATTCCTCCAAGTTGGAAGTGGTGGTCCCACACCCTCCATCTGCCCCTGGGCTGGGGTTGGATTTGAAAAATGCCTATTTTTCTTGTACCTTTCAGTGTAGAAACTCTATTTTCTCCCAAAGACACTATTTTTGCAGCTGTTTGAAGTTTGTATATTTTCTGTATTGCAGAGCTTACACAAAATTGAAGAATGTTAATGTTTGAGGTTTTTTTATCTTGTGTTTAGAAGTTGAGTTTTTTCTTTTTGTTTTTGTTTTTGTTTTTTTTTTTTTGCAGATCTTGGTGTTAATAGATCAAATAAATAAGTATTCCCAGCAGCTTGAGGTTGTATTAAATGTCTGGGGTAGGAGGAATGGGGGGGGGGAGATGGAGGGTATCATAGTGATCACTTCATCCTGTGTACAAAAGAAGGAGCCTTTCTAACACCCAATGCAATGGTTCTGGGTGCTATATGGCTGTATGGATGACATCATGCTGGGACTATTCACAAGGACAAACAGACAGTAGACCTGTGAAAAGTTCAGAATCAAGAGTGTGTTATGTCCTGCAGGTGAGGGAGTCATTGGGGAAGTGACCCATCTTCCATGAGTCTGAGAAAGCTCCCTTGGGAGAGTGGACTTAGAGAGGAAATGAGGGTGCTTGAGAGGGGACAGCTTGACATTGTGGATACTCTTTACAGAGTCAATGGGAATGAGATGAGGGAATGGCATTAAGGTGGACTTTTCTTGTGCAGCTTTAGGGAAATTTTTATCCTTTTTGCAGTTGGTGCCCGCAATGCATTGTGAAGCCTTGGGGGGGTACAAAGAAACTGCTTTGTCCTTTTGCAGTCTATCAGACTGTCAGACCTCTTAGGCTCTTGGGCAAAGTGTCAGTAACCATCCTAACATTCTGATAGTGCCTTGAATTTACAAAGCTTTCTTACAAAAGACACATTGTTCCCACTGGATTCCTGGAGAGTTGACAAGCCCAAGGGCAATTGTAAAGTGTACAGCTATCTGTAAGACCTCAGAACAGATTCCTAATCCTGGCTATCCCTATTTGCTTGGTAAGTGCCAGGTATGTTAAGTGCTTTACATGAAATGTCATTGAAATATGACAACCACCCAATGAGAGAAATGTGATTAAGTCCCACTGTACTAATGAGGGAAGGTCAAAAGGATTGGATGATTTTCCCCAAAAGACACAGATAGAAGGAGCCAGAATTGGAAATGTGATCATTTGGTTCCATTGCCATGCTTGCAGTGCTCTACTACTCCTTATTATATTCCCATTAATCTCATATGACCTGAGTCAAGTGAATTATTTGAGGTCCCTGCTGGTAAAGAGATGGGATTGGAACCCAGGTCTCTCACCCTGGCTGCTAGTTGGTTCCCTGGAAGTACCAGTTGATCTAGTAGAGTAAGCCCCTGGGCAAAAGAGTAAATACTTGAGGATCCTTTGCCCCCCTCATAGAAAGAAGGCAGTGGGCTGAGGATGGACACCATCTTTTATCTCTTAGCCTGCCTGTCCCCTGAAAGATGTCTGGCTTGCCCCCAAAGCCTTAGTGAGTCAGGCCCCCAGTGATGGGTGTGGTGCTGCCCAATGTTTCCTTCCTTTGCCTGAGACTGTGCCAAAGAGCATGCAGCTACAAGGGACAAACAGCCTGAAGTCCAACAGGCCGCCTGAGAATTGGACCTTCAGCCAGATATGAAGTGGGGGTCGGGGGTGGCAGTGGAGTGAGTCTTGCCCAGGTAATTCTGCACAGTAGGTGGAGAATCAACCCATGGATATGGAAGGCACTCAATAATAAGAAGGTGGAGGGCAGCTGAAGGGTTTGCTCAATTGTGAGTTGGAGGCCCTGGAAGAAAATTCACTTCAATAAATTTGCATTTCCACCTCCAGGATGTGAGAAAGTAAGATTTCAGTTGAGAAAAAGTAATGACTAATAATACCTTAAACTTTGCACAGCACACTTTACAGTTTATAAAACACTTTGACAAACCTCAGCTCATTTAATCCTCATCAGTCAGGAGACGATAAAGCAACTATTACTAATTATTCCTAGTTTATACGGTGGGAAAACTGTGGCTGAGAATTTAAGCGACACGTGTAGACTTTACCTGTAAGGGACTAGAGCCCTGATCTAGCAGAAGCCTACCCTCGCCTTGGTAGTCTAGTGCCTGCTATAGCGATTTGCTCTCCCAAGTCAGGCCTTCAACACTGATAGAACGGGGTAGGGGAGTCGCTGACACTGGGCAGCCGCTAGGGGGCGTTGAGGCTCCATTAAGACTTTTTGGCTTTAGGACCCAGCTAAAGCCTGGCAGCTCACCGGCCGCCTTTGATTTGCTCCGTCTTCTGCACCTCCTCTTTCCCCGCCCACCTGTCTAACTTTGCACATCGCCGCCAATTGGTGACCTCCACATCCTTATACGTCATCACTCTACGCCCGAGGGTCTGCTAGGCCATACTGTCGAACCCCGGGTAACAGTTGTCCTCAGAGTTGCCTTATCAGAAAAATCTCGAAGGCGAGGCACTAACTTCAAGACAGCTGGTTCCCCTGGCCACTAGGAATGAAGCCAAGGTCTCAGGGACGGTCTTTTTTCCCAGAAACCAGGTGCTGTGTTATAAGGATTTTTCCCTCTCAGCAACCCTGAGCTGGCAGTTCTGGAGTTGACTGCTGGGCCCTGCTAAGCGGCGGTCGCATGCAGCTTCTATGAGGCCCTTGCCGCCGGTCGGCGATGTCCGCTTGGACTTGTCGCCTTCGCCGCCGCTGCCGCTGCCGGTTGTGAGTGGGTCTCCGGTCGACTCGTCCGGGCGTCTCATGGCAGCTAGCAGATCCCTGGTACCCGACCGGCTGCGCCTGCCGCTCTGCTTCTTGGGTGTCTTTGTCTGCTATTTCTACTATGGGATCCTGCAGGAAAAGATGTGAGCCGACCCCTGGGAGCGGGAACATAGACATCCCCTTATTATCCAGACCCTTCTGTCCACACTGCGGCCCGATTCTTGGACCTCCCTATTTCTGGTCCCAGGCTTTCCTTTTGTCTTCCCACTTGGCTTGTGACCCTCCCTGCATCCGCTACCTTTACATCCTCGGCTGAGCCACCCCGTAATTCCAAAACGCCAGAGTTGGCCAGTGGATTTCTTGGGACCTGATTGTTTTTCTTCCTTTAGATGTTTTTTTAATCATTATTAGTTCCAAGAACCTGGAACTTCTACACTCAAACACACTTCCGTAACCTGATCTAGGTCTTCTTTGGAATTCCCAGGTGCTTGCAGACTGCCTATTTCGCCTTCGGTTTTGCTGTCTAGCCAAATCTCCTGCCAGGGGTACTTCCTTTCACTATCTGATTTTCCATTTTTCCTGTAATTCCATCCTTTATGGATATTTTTTGCTGAGGCTATGGGATTAGTAGTGTGGGGCATCAAGTTTCTAGATCCAACCAAATCAACCCCTTTTGTAAATGAGCCCAGTGATCCTTACAGGCTCTCCCCACATTCAGAGAAGTAAGATAACCCCAAAGTTTTCAGTGACTCTGGACATACCAGATGGCAGTGAGTTTTATACTAATTTCTCCCCTCTCTTTCTCATGCATTTCCTCTTAGAACAAGAGGAAAATATGGGGAGGGAGCCAAGCAGGAGACGTTCACCTTTGCCTTAACTTTGGTCTTCATCCAGTGTGTGATCAATGCTGTGTTTGCCAAGATCTGTGAGTACATAGATATTAATTTGTTAGATGCTCCCCTTCCACCATATTCTGGAAATTAGGCGTTGATTCAACGTGAAGGTCTAATTTTCCCTGACCTCCACCCCCTTTAGTACTCACACAGGCTCTCTGTACAGTCTATAAGGGCTGTGAAATACTATTAAAATATCATGCCCTTAAATTAGACCAGCTTCTGAACCAGAAATGTGCAGAGAATGGGTCTTCTGTGTTCTAAATGTCCATTGAAAATTCTTGAAACATTTTTACCTTTGTCCCTTTGATTTCCCTTTATGTGTCAGCTTCAAATATGTTTTGAGCTTTCTTTGTTCCCTAAAGTCTAGCAGCAGAACTAAGTCCTCTCTTGAACTGAATGAGAATCCCACCTCCACCCTGCATGTGGTCTTATGTTAGGCTTTGGTGGAATTGGAGAGTTGAATAATTTTCAGAGATTTCCAAGCCTAAGGACAGAAATACCTGTGTCTTGTTTGACAGATAAGTTCCTTTCATGTGGCCTCAGCTTTTGCTTAGTGGTCCATCCTAGCCCCACCAGGTTTCTCTTGTATGTTTTTATCTTCTCCTAGTGATCCAGTTTTTTGACACTGCCAGGGTGGATCGTACTCGGAGCTGGCTCTATGCTGCCTGTTCTGTATCCTATCTGGGTGCCATGGTCTCCAGCAACTCAGCACTACAATTTGTCAACTATCCAACTCAGGTGAACTCTCTTGGTGGAATGAGGGTTGTTTTAGAAATTGTTTGAAAGGTCTAAGGGGTGCTCCCTCAGGTTTGTGGCTTAAATAAAAAGAAACAATCCTGGGAGAGTGTGTTTGAGGAATTCAGAGTATATAAGACTGTACAGCTGGGCTTTATTGGTGGGTCAGCTATGATAGGACTGCTTTCTGAGGTTCAGGTCCCTGGTGTGGGCCCAACCCTCAGTCAGCTTAACGTAGCACCTAGAACAGTTCCTCGCACATCGTAGATGCTCAGAAATTATTTGCTGAATTTAATTTCAGGTTCTTGGTAAATCCTGCAAGCCAATCCCAGGTAAGCAGAAGAAGATGGTCTCCATCTTCTATCCTTTCTTTTCCTCTGGCTACAGCTCTGTGTTCCTCTAGGTTTCATCATCCCACTATAGGTCCCTCCAGGGACTTTTCTCAGTCCTTCTCTCTGCCCATCCTTTCATCTGTATCTCTTCTGTGGTGTGCGTAGACTGGTAATTCTCAGTGGGAGCTAGAAGCTGACCTAGTCTGTTTCACATGCTCAGTCATTTTAGTGTTCTGTCTGTTTACATTGTCATTACACATCCTAAATCCAATTTTAACCATCATTTTCTTTTTCCCAGCCTCTTCATCTTTCCCCCACTGTTCCCTACCCTTTCCTTGTTCCTTCCTGGACTTTTCACCTTTGTTCTCTACCTTTTCCCCACCTTATACTCTACTCAACTGTATTGCTTGATCATCTTTATCTAGGTGCCAACCTGGCACTCCTCCTCTTATCATCTATAGGCCTTCCTTCTCCCTGAGTCTTTACTTGGCTCCTGGAAGGAGGGTCTTGGAGTCATTGATGGCTGTGGATGCCTGAGTTTTTTACTCTGTTTTTCCCTTGTAGTCATGCTGCTTGGGGTGACCCTTTTGAAGAAGAAGTACCCACTAGCCAAGTACCTGTGTGTGTTGCTAATTGTGGCTGGAGTGGCTCTTTTCATGTACAAACCCAAGAAAGTAGTTGGAATGGAAGAACATACAATTGGCTATGGAGAGCTGCTTCTGGTATGTGGTCTTAGGAAGGTAGCCTTTTCCAGCAAATATAACCAAAGGATAGCCCCATGCAGCCAGAAGATCAGTTATGTCTTGAGAGAAGTTGTAGTGCCCATTACCTCCCATTTCTGGTCTTTGCTGAAGGCTATGGCAGGGAGCCTGAAATATTTGACTATGGCCAAGTTCTCCTTCTGGGGAAGAAAACTCTGAGATCTATATCTAGATACTGGTGTGAGATCATACAAACTTGAGAACTGAAAAGGAAGAAATAGTGTCTCTCTCACCGGGTTCCCAAGAAAAATGGAAGCCAGAGTTGAAAATAATGCAATAGGTACTTACATATTAGGCACTGTTTCAAGTGTTTTACATGTTAGTTTATTAATTTTTACAAGTCTCCTTACACAGGTAGTGTTTCCTGCATTTTACAGAATAAATTGAGGCCAGAGAGGTTAAGTCACTTGCCCATTGTCACATGCTATTTAGGTGACAGAGTCAGAATTGGATTTCAGTCTGAGCAGTCTGACTACAGAATCCAGTTGATGGGTCACTGTACTCCAAGCTAGCCTGCTGGGACTAGATTTTCCTTCTCCAGATTTAGTGAAAGAATGTGGATGGCTCACCACAGCATATATTTCAGTCTCATGTCCATGGCTTCAAGGCATTGTGTTGGGAAGTGGCTGGCTTCCTGCTCTGGTGATTGCAGTACTGTTGTGTGGCTCACTTAGCCTCTCAGTCATGTTATGGGAGGAACAGCTAATATGATCTCTCTGCCCCTACACCTGGGACAAAGGCAGCAGTTCTGAGGACTTTAAGGCAGCAGTTTTTTGAGGAGCCTGAGGATGAGAATCCTGTGCCCTGGGTTAGGGAGGGGTCCTGCTGGTCACCCCATTGCAGGCTTCTCTTTTTTCCTTCCCAGCTGTTGTCTTTGACCCTGGACGGACTGACAGGTGTTTCCCAGGACCACATGCGGGCTCATTACCAAACAGGCTCCAACCACATGATGTTGAACATTAACCTTTGGTCGACATTGCTGCTGGGAGGTGGTAAGGAGCAGCTCTGCTATGCTTTCCACCTATCACCAGAGGGCAGACTGCTCTTGTCCACTTATTCCTAACTAGGCTGCCGGTTGCTAACTTTGAGCAAGCCAAGGCCTGACTTGGTTCCAAGGTGCTTCTCTGTCCACGCCCTGAGAGACCTTTCTGAAAAATTTGCTCTGGCAGGGTCTGCTTGCTACCTGTAACTAACACAATAGGGGCAATCCTGCACCAGGTATCATGGGAAGACTCACAGTAAAACACTGGGACTATTCCCTGTTAGGAGGTAGCATTGGTATAGTGCTTGCACAAAGCAGGAGTAGGTGAACACTTTAGAGTCCAAACATGAATGCATTTGTCTTGAAACCAGTGTTTTCTAACTTTTCCAATCTGGACACGTGGAAAGTACATGTGCAGCACACTGGGGTTCATGGAGGAGGTCACTGGGGACTGCAGATGACCAATGTTAGGAGCTTCCTTGAACAGGAGGTGTGTGGGTCACCATCTCTGCATCTGAAGAGCTTTCAATCACTTTGGGATAAATAATTCATTAACTTTCAAGCCTCTCTCTCAAAATCGAGTCTTTAGTTTCTCTAATCAGAAAAAAATGAGAAAGCTACATACATGATGGGACATTACAATCTCACTGCAAAACTTTCCATACCCCAGCCTCCTTCACAGAACTTTAGAAGGCAATGTGCAAGTGTGTGTGTGTGTGTGTGTGTGTGTGTGTGTGACACAAGATGCACCATTCATCTTTTGATATTTCTTCTTAGGAATCCTGTTCACTGGGGAGCTCTGGGAGTTCTTGAGCTTTGCCGAAAGGTACCCAGCCATCATCTATAACATTCTGCTCTTTGGCCTGACCAGTGCCCTGGGTCAGGTGAGTTCTTGAGATGGGACAGCTTGGTTTCTTTGCCATGACAGCTGGTTTCCCTAGAAAAGCTGACCTGACTGGGAGATAAGGGGTGGCAAGATTAGCCCTGGGTGTCTGTTTGTTTTAAGACCTCATTGCAGATGCCTAAGAATCAGCCTGATCCACCTTTCTCTCATTCTCTAGAGTTTCATCTTCATGACTGTTGTATATTTTGGTCCCCTGACCTGTTCGATCATCACCACAACTCGGAAGTTCTTCACCATTTTGGCCTCTGTGATCCTCTTCGCCAACCCCATCAGCCCCATGCAGTGGGTGGGCACCATACTTGTGTTCCTGGGTAAGTTCCATCCAGAGCAGATTCCTTTCTGGACCACAGAGGGACAATGACAGAACATTATAGGCTTTTCCCCCCTAAAATTTTCTTTTTTTTTTTTCTTTTTTTTTTTGGCGCACTAGGGTTTGAATTCAGGGTCTCACACTTGACAGGCAGTGGCTCTTACTGCTTAAGCCACTCTGCCAGGCTAGAGGAAGCTTTCTTTTGAGATAGCGTCTTACTTCTTAGCTCAGGCTGGCCTTGAACTTGCAATCCTCCTGTCTTCCTGAGTACCGGGATTACAGACATTGCATGCCTAGCTAGGGAAGACTTTTTTTGGTGGTACTGGGGTGTGAACTCAGGACCTTGTGCTTGGTAGGCAAACATTCTACCACTTGAGCCACACTTCCTCCCCTAGCCCTTTTTGCCTTAGTTTATTTTTCAGATAGGGTCTCACATTCTTTTGCCTAGGGCTGGCCTCTACCCACCATTCTCCTACCTCTGCCTCTCACATAGCTGGGATTATAGGCATGGGTCACCAAGAAAACTTTCTTGAAAAGGAGGCATTATTTGTAATGTAACCTTCCTAACATGTATTCCATCTTGTTGATTTTCTTCCCTTAACATAGATTTCTCCAGATCCTGAGTAGGAAAGAATTACAATGCTGATTCCCTACTGACTCATGGTGCTATGGTGGAGCTCAGAAGTTTTAACTCTTAAGTTTCTTTCCACCTTGCTATCTACTGATGTGTCTGTGTGTGTGTGTGATTACTGGTATTTTTTCATTTGATACCATTCTGTTGTCTCTGAGGAAATTACATAAAACAAGTGTTCTAAAATTTATTTAAGGCTCTAATTTTGGAGAATCAATGCTGACTCCCCCAAATCATTAATAGGTTTCACGTACCCTGTAAAGCTGAGCCTGTTTTCTCCTTTCCATAGGTCTCGGTCTCGATGCCAAGTTTGGAAAAGGAGCAAAGAAGACATCCCACTAGTGAAGAGGACTACCTCACTCCAAGAACACTTAAGTTATTATCTCCAACAGTGACATCTCTTGGGAAAATGGACTCAGTAGTGATAAGGGACTGAATTCCAGTCTTTTTAAAAAAAAAAAATCAAAGGAAGCAAAAATCAGATATTCTAAAAACAAAAACAAAATGCACTTTGGATTTTTCATGAGACGAGTGGGCAGTTTCTGTTCTTGATGACCTGGCGCACAGTCCAGTGCAAATAAAGAGAGAGGAAGAGGCAGAGCTTGATGCTCGCAGCCCACGCTGCTGCTCTCTGGGCTGTGGTTAGTGTGCTTGGTTGGGTTATTCCCATGAGCCTGCGCATGATTGGGAGGAGCTCCGAAAGATTATGTGGTGTGCCAGCAGCCTCTGTTCCCACGGACCAGCTTTAAATATGCTGAGACAGGTGGCTGTCTATTAGAGCCAGAGGATGTAAAAATCACTTCTCTAAGGCTTGGGTGGGCAAACACGTCATGAGAAACTAAAGGTATGTTCTCTTAAGAAAACCTTAAGATTGGGGTTAAATGGGCCCAGAGGCTTAGGGTCTGCTGGGTTTTCTCTTGTCGCCACTACCACCCCTCAGCCAGAGGGCTTGACCGAGACTTTGTGCGTGTATCATTAGTAGCTTTGGAAGGTCTAGGAATGTACTTTTTCTTACTCTCTCCCTCCATTTCTCCCTCTGTTCTCAGTCCACCTGGTCCCCTCCAGGGAGGCTAGATTAATCCTTTCTATTCCCCTGCCCCCTTCAGCTGCTAAAGCATTGCAGTCCTCTGCCATCCTAGCTGTGCCAAGGTATCACCATGCCAGCTTCTGCCTGTTGAAAGGGATGCTGGCGGAAAGCATGGTGGCTGAGTCCTGGCATAGAGCTGCTGTTGAGTTTTCTGGGTGGTAATATGGGGAGAAGGCGGGGCATGGAGCAGAGCCACCTGCCCACTGATGCCTTCAGAGTTGGAAATCGCAATCCTCCAAGGATCAAACTTTACACATGAAAGTGCATTTCCACCAGCTGCAACTTTCTCTCCATCTGTTCCACAGCCGCAGCCCCTTGGCTCTCCAGATGGGAGCCCAGCCTCCTTCCGGAGCACTGCCTTGCCATCCCCCACCCAGCCTTTCAAGCCCTGCCCCCCTTGCACTCTTCTTGCTCCGTAGACCCCAGTATTGCTGCAGCCCTGTCCCTAAGGGCCCCCTGTCATTTTGAACCCCTCTTTGAGAGAGAAGTTTTAAGTACATCTGGCTGAACTTCCTTTCTCCATCCCATTCCCCTCTGTTTTTTCCATCCTGAAGGTTTTTAAATAGCTCTTCTCTGCTGGACTGATAGTTCTTCACAGTCTTCTATGGGTTGGGTAGGTGGTTACAGCATGTCAGCAGGGCTAAGAGTCTACAAGCAGTCATCATCTGGGCTTGCTGATTTAATGGCTTCCCCACTAGTAGACTTGTCCCCTCCACCTCTTCCCCCTGGCCGTTTCCAGCTAGCTGTCTCAAAAATGCCTAATACTAGTCACCAAGAGCAAGACAGCTTTTAACAGCTCACCATGGCTCTCACCTGATCCTAGAGTGATGGCTCATAAATATGCCTGTCCTTCCAACCAGGCCCAGTTCTGGTGTATTCACTCAAGCGCCTGTCCATTCATCTAGTAACATTTATTTCCTTCTGGGTGCCATGCACTGTGAACAGGATGAGGGTTAAGCAGGACTAATATTTACCCTCTAGGGGGCTCCCTGCCAAATACAGGGAAACAGTAAAGCAAATCACTGCATCTCAGAAATGCAGAGATGACGCAAAGGGCAAGGTGAGGCTTGTCTGGAGAGTAGGAAGATGAAAGCAGGAGTAGATGGAGCTTTGGCTCCATTGCCAAACAAGAAAGGGGTTTTCAACTGCCTCACTGCTCTCCCTTTCACCCAGTCTCCTACCTCCGGTCAGTTCCAATAAGAACACGTGACAGGACAATGACTTGCAAGTGAGATGTTGTTTTATTCAACTTGAAGGTGACTGAAAATGTTTTGTAAGCTGCCAGCTTGTTCCAGGTGGCATAGTTACTCACAGCATCACAAACAGAGCATGCCAGATTTGACTGAAGTCAGTACTACAGTTAGCTTATAACAGGGCGGATAAATGTGAAATACCAGACAAGTTCAAACAGACGCCTTGTTGATCACTAACCCTGGGCAGCCTGATGCCTCGGGTTTCTAAAGATCAAAGGACTTTCATCTGCAGTTAATTCTCAGCTAGGTGCAGAAAGGAGGGAACCAGTATGGAAGTTTCCCTAAGCCCTGTGTTTTTAGTGAGGGTGCATTGTACTTATGTCTATTTTGGTCAAAGCATCAGGTGCACCTCCTTCAGTTTGTGCTCAGGCTCACAGTAAAGTGGTTTTCCATTTTCTGTGCACCTCTTAGCCTACAACATGGAGAGTGATCCACACATGTAACTGGGGTACAATTCTAGGGAAAGCGATTCTGGAATTAAACTTAAAAAATCATAAGTGGCAGGAATCAAATGTTCACTGTGGATAATCTATAAGGAATAGATTATGTTTTCTCACTGCCCTGTAAACACCCTTGTGAGGAGCACTGAACAAACATCTGTACTTTTTAGAGATGGGAAAACCTAAGAGAGAGAAGCTTCCATGACCTGCAGTAGGTCCAAAGTTCTGGTGACCTCCTGGGCCTGTACTCTTTCAGGGAGGGAACTAGGGTCCCTCAGGAGGCTCACTGCTTACACCGTTTGGCTTCACTTATCAGGGGACAGTTTGCATGTTTTATGAGTGGAGCTGGACATTTTCCTCAGGTGCCCTTGCAGAGAAATTGCCCCAGGTCTCTGCGGGATCATTCAGCCCTTCCCATCAAAAACACCAGCTGTCTTTAGGAACAGTAAGCTCAGATTTATAGAGCTCCTGCTTTCCCCCTAGCTCTTTAGTGCATATCATTTTATCCTTAGGACATTTGTGGAGAGCGCTTGAGCCAGAGGCAGGACCCCAAATTTGAGATAGGAAGCCTGAAACCCACCAAGGTACAGCAACAGAAGGTCACATGATTCTGTGGGAGGCAGGAGCCAGAGGTCAGTTTCACTTTTCACTTCCTACTTCACGGATCAGGGAGTGAGTGCCTTAATCCTCAGCAAGCTAAGCCAGTGGATCTCAGCTATTTGAATTTTCTAGAAATTCCCAGTAGAATATTTAAATACCTGACAGGTATGCTGGCTTTTTTTTTTTTTCTTTTTCTTTTTCTTTTTTGTGGGGTAGGAAGACAGTACTGGGGATTGAACTCAGGGCCTCAGGCCCTCAAGCTTGCTAGGCAAGCACTCTACCACTTGAGCCACATTCCCAGTCCTTTTGTTTTTCAGCTAGAGTCTCAAATCTTTGCCCAGGCTGGCTTGGTATTATAGGAATGCACACCAGAACCGGCCTAGCTTTTTATTTTTTTCAAGAGAGAACATTAAGAAAAATTCCTATCACCACCATAGTTTAGAAAATGAAATTCCAATTCAAAAATTTTAGGAAGGTATCCACCTTCTCCCAAAGAAATCATAATTAGTAATCATACCACTATATTGATGATAGATTGATTTTTCAATTGCAGAAGATCAACAAAATGATGAGACATTGTAGGGTATATCACTATGATTGCTGGACACTTGCACTTTGGAGTGGCCCGGTTGCAAATATCTGTAATCCCTGCTTCTCAGGAGGCTTAGGCAGGAGGATTGTAACTTTAAGACCAGCCTGGGCAACTTATTGAGGCTCTGTTTCAAAAAATAAAAAGGGCTGGGGATATAGCTTAGTGTAGCTGAGAGTGCTTGTTTAGCATATATGAAGCCCTGATTTCAAGCAACCCTGAGCATAGCAAAAGCAAATAAAAACTACCTTGCAGTTTAGAGGCTGTGTTCCACAGTGCAACCCAGTGGAGCTGCAATGTCAAATAAGTATGCTGACAAAGATGGAAAGAAGTGACCTGCAATAAGTGTCTATAATTTAGAACATCCTGAGAGCCCAAAACAATATTCCTGTCCTCGGCCCCTCTGCCTTCCCTGTGGGGCCAGGAGACCAGCCCTGCCCAAGACCTACCCCCAGTGGCTTCAGTGTGTGGCTTTGATCACCCAGCCTTCAGTGTGCAGAATATAGTTTGGAGAGCAGCCACTTCCTGGTGAAATCCAGCTTTTGACCAGCATGGAACTCAGCATGGAGCCTGCCGTTTGCAGGAAGAGTAGGAAGGGGACCTGAGAGGGACTTGGTGTCTTGAACTCACTGAGGCACAAGCCCAGAGCCTGGCAGTGTTTCTGTGGGAATATGTGTGGCTCCCCGTGACTTTTGAGAGAGGTGAAAGAGGGAAGTGGCCCAGAGCACTAACCAAAGAAGGGAGAATATGCTTTTTTCTGCCATTTTTGGCTTTGTCATGGCAGTTGGGTGTCCAGGGCTAACAGGCACCATGTCTCAGCTCAAGTTCTGACCAGACATCATTTCCTCCTGCTTAGAACTGCCACATTCAGACTATAACCCTAAAGGAAATGTGTTACTTGGACATGAAGGCTGCGAACTCCCTGAAATATGGTGTAAAAGTGTTATGATATATGTCAAGCTGGTACATTAATTTTTTTTCTGTGAAAAAGGTCCACAGCTCTCTCCAAATTCACCAGGTGCTCCATACACAGGATCCACCATAATCATGGAACTCATTTTATTACATGTGAGTTCCTAAATAGAGTAGTATAACTGGGAACCCTTGACATATTCCAGCAGCTCTGACTCATGGAGGAATGAAGTTGAGGACACAGAGATACTCAAGGACAGTAACCCATCCAGATTAATTTCTAGTTTTCTCCTGGTTCCTTCACATATCACCCAGGGCTGCCAATTTTAACAAATAAAAATACAGGATGCTTGGCTAAATTTGAATTTCAGATAAACAACACATATTCTTTTGGTATAAGTATGTCCCTGTATTCCAGTTTAACCAGCATTCTGTATTTTATCTGGCAGCACTATTTGTAGCATTAGTCACTATCACAAATGTTCTTCTGGCCCCCTCTCTTCCTAGGAAGGCATGCTAACATTCATCACAACTTGCAGTTCTGGGCACAAGGCTTTCAGGTGCTTATGTTCAGAGCCAAAATTT